TCATCAAAAGATGAAGCCCAAGTTCCCATGAACCAATGGTGGCGAAATAAAGTTACCACTAGCATATGTATCCTTGGAGGTGAGGAAGTTGTTTATTTTTCACAGTTAGAAATGTTTTATTTTTTAACCATTTGAAAATTGAAGTATAGTTAATTCACAATGCTGTGTTAGTTTCAAGTGGATAGCAAAGTCATTCAGCTATATATATATGTATCTATTCTTTTTCAGATTTTTTTCCATTATAGGTTATTATAAGATATTGAATACGATTCCTCTATAGGCCTTAGCCTTTTACCTGTTTTAAATATAGCAGTATGTATCTGTTCATCTCAGATCGCTCATTTATCCCTCCCTCACTTTCTCCTTAGTAACCATAACTTTGTTTTCTACGTTTGTGAGTCTGTTTCTGCTTTGTAAGTTCCTTTGTATCATTTTTTAGACTCTACATGTAAGTGATATGATATTTTTCTTTCTTTGTCTGACATTTCACTTAGTATGATAATCTCTTTAAGTCCATCCATATTGCTACAATGGTATTATTTCATTCTTTTTTACTTCTAAGTAATATTTCATTGTATATATGTACCACATCTTCTTTATCTATTAATTTGTCAGTGGACAAATTAGGTTGCTTTCATGTTGTGACTATTATAAATAGTACTGCTATGAACACAGAGGTACATGTATTTTTTTGAATTAGAATTTTCGTCTTTTCCTATATGCCCAGGAGTGGGATTATAAGATTACATGGTAGCTCTATTTTTAGTTTTTAAGAAGCTTCCATATTGTTCTCCTTAGTGGCTGCACCAATTTACATTCCCACTGACAGCGGAGAAATATAGGAGGGGTCCTTTTTCTCCTCATCCTCTCCAGCGTTTGTTATTTGTAGACTTTTTAAAGATGGTAAGCCATTCATTCTGAACAGTGTGAGGAGATATCTTATTGTAGTTTTGATTTGAAAGAAATGTTTTATTATGTTATTTTTGGAATACCCAAAAAATACAGGTCAGTATTAATACTTCTCAAATATATCAATAAGGTGGTGGATACAAAGATCTCTTCTACTGCCATCACGAACTCCTGCAGGCTAGGAACTGCATCTCATCTATCTGTGAGCTCCTCACAACATCGAGTGATGAGTTCAAGAAATGAAGGAATGACCCAGCATTGCTACCTGTAAACATCAGCTGAAACATGTTCCTTCCCTTCAGATCAACCATCTTGGACTAAATCAATATCTGCTCTTTTTATTTAAGGAGAAAAACTGTCAGGAGTCAGGGGAATCATTTATCTGACCTTAGGAGGATCTTTTTCACTGAATGGGCTTCCCTGGTGGCTCAGTTGGTAAAGAATCCACTTGCAATGAGGGAGACCTGGGTTGGATCCCTGGGTTGGGGAATGATTTTCAGGTGGTATTTGTATAAAGTAGAGAGATACATCCAATAATTCACAAATATAGCAGCCATTATTTTAATACAATAGCTGGGAATACAAAGTGAAAAACATAAGCCTGAAACTTAAATGCTTTTTAAGAAAAATGCAAATAAATAGGGTAACCAAGAAATTAGATTAAAGCAGTTTGGCCAGTGCCAACTGGAGTGTCTACCTAATGTTGACAGTAGCAATGTTTAGAAAATCAAAGCAGTTAACTCTTGCTGACATTGACTGAAAAATGGCTATAAGTAAGTTCCCTGAAAAGAACTGGAGGAGAGGAGAACTGGCAAAACAGTTGTACAAACACATAAGGAAATTCATGAGGCTGAGGGAATAATGGGAAAGGAGAAGAAAGAGAAAGACACATATGATGTCAAACTCCTGTTCTCTTCCTCAGGTTTCAGATCCCTTTCAGATGGCACCACCCAGCAGCTTTCTCCACACTCAGTCGTTCATCTCACCACAAAACGTGCAACCAAACAACTGGGAAGAACAGAGCAACTGGATGGCGAACCGCCTCCCACAGCACCTCTAAAATGTCTGACTCTTGAAATGGGCCTCTTGTCTGCACCTTGTTTGGTCCACGGTAAATTCCCAACAAATCTGGACTAATAAAATGTCCTTAAGAAGTGAATCTGCAGAGTTACAAATTTTAGACAGATGTCTGGAGCCAGACTAACAACAAGGAACTGACTTTTCCTCTTTGGCACCACACGATGGTTGTGTAACAGGTTCAAGCTGATGGGATAGCTATTTAAGCCAGAGTAATACACTACAACCGATGCTTTTGAAAACCATGAAAAACCCAGCTCCCAAACTTCCAATAGCTTGTTGAGGTTTTCTTTAACCCTCCAAATGAGGATCAGTCAACATAAGTACAGAAAAAATTTTACCCACAAGAAATTTTTATAGTCAGGTCTACTAATACTGGTTTATTTGCAGCCCAACTCTCTGAAGACAGCAAACCGTGGTATTGGCTGCCCTCTGCAGTGAGCTGCTGAATTCAGCAAAATATCAAGATCAAGAAAATGCCAAATGCATGTAACTAATTCTCCTTGAAATCCAGAAAAGCTGGCAAGAGAATGAGTTCTTATGTCTAGGATTTTACAGTTGAGGGTGTGTGGGAAAGTAACACACCACCTCCCAATCACTCAACCCTAACCTGATGTTCAACTGTCTGTGAGGCTAGGGTAAGCTTGCCTGTTGATTTTGAGACGTTAAAGTGAAGTTCTAGGTGAGATCCTTTGTTGCTGAATCACAAATCAACCAATATCACAAAGCAATACTTAGAAGCTTTTCAGAGGGTTCTCTAGACTGAGAACTTCCATGGTATGTGTTTTTAAAATATGTTTATAAATTATTTGAAAGTACTCCCAACAAGAAATGGAGGCTAATTTTCCTTTCCTTAAATATGAACTGGCCTTAGTGACCTGGATCCAATGAAGAAAATGAGGTTGGACGTGACATGCTATGACATCTGAAGCTGAGTTACAAAAGGAAACACGGCATCTGCCAAGCTCTTTCTTGAACTGCTCACCCTTAAAATCCATCTGCTGTCCTAGCAGAAGGTCAGGCCAGTGAAGGGGCGTGGGCATGCAATCCAGCTGACAGGCCCGCAGCAGTCCGAACCAACAACCAGCATCAAGCAGTTGATGTCATGGGTGTCCCCTGAACCCTGTGCCTGAGGAAGCCCTCAAGAAAACACCAACTCCTGCTGCCCAGTTATCATCTGACTGTAACCACGTGAGTGAAAACCATGTAAATGCGGTCAGACAACTCCGAGATCCATAAAAGTTAATAATAATGATAATAATAATGTGTTATTTTAAGAGAGAAGCCTGTCAACTATCACTCGCTGATAAAGTCTGGCCTGTAGAGCTTTTTTCTACAGCCAGTGATCTAAGCTGGGTTTGGTACATTTTTAAAGGATTGTAAAAGAAATAGAACAAAACAAAGAAAAACATGCAACAGAGACCATATATAGCTCTTAAAGTCTAAAATAGTTATTCTATGGCCCTTTATAGAAAAAATTTGCTCACCACTGTGTTAAGCCACTAAGCTTTTTAAAATGTTTGTTACACAGCTATAGATAATTGGAACACATGGTACCTTTGAAACAAAATAAGCAGTGGGCATATGCTAGATTCAGAGCACCATGAAAGTCACACTAAAAAGTCACAACTTAACTGCTATCTGCAAGTCAATTCTTATCCTATCAATATTGTACAATATTCTAATTTCACAAACACACTTGATCAGCCAAAGTGAAAGTGATGGTAATATGATTCATAAATATGATTCATAAACCAAGAAGAGCATCTTAAACATGCATCTCAAATTTGATTCTGGATTAAACTCCAAATTCTCAGAGATTCATTAATAATTTCAGTAATAACAGCTGGCATTTACTGAGTCTTTACTATGTTCCAGACACTGTTCTAAGCTATTTAATATTTATTATCTCACTTAAGCTTCGTGACAATCCTTACATTTTACAGATGAGAAACTGAAGCAGAGAAAATTGATCTAACCTGTACAAGATCGCAGAGGTAATAAGTCTGCAGCCAGGACTGACTTGTACCCATGAAATTCATCACTGCACTCTGCTGTTCCTATCTAGAAAAAGTATCTAAGCAAGACACCCAGTCTGCGCAGCTGGCTTCTGCAGAGTGGCCAGTACCCACTGAACGCTCTAAGCAGTCTTCCTGTGTGCTCTCCTCTCACAAGGAATCTTGTGTCTCAATCCTGAGTCTCCATCTCTTTCCCCTGGAACCTAGGACTTCCAACAACACTAGTTTTTCTGTTGAGAGTATCTGAAACGCCTGAAACTAACTACAGTTAGTTTTAAGCTGTTCTTTCCAAACCCTCAAAGTCTTCCTCACATTTTTCCTCTGGTTTCTGTCAATCAACACGTGGGAAATTACACTTGCTGAAAAAAAGGCTGTCAGGAGAGACACAACATAAGTTCTGCATTGCCAGCTCTTGGCTAAATAAAACCAACAGACTGAGCAAGAGCCAATGGTCCAAACCACTGTTAGGACCAGAGATCATGAAGAATGAAATCAGCATCAGTTTCCTCAAATGTGAAGTGGAAGTGATGACACTCATCTTTATGGTTTGCTGTATAGCTAGTGCCAAGATGTATTAAGGGCCTAATCCAATGCCTGGCATTCAATTAATGGTGGTTATAACTATTGCAATTTTAACACAGAATTTGCCTCTCTTTTAAAGAACTGATAATTGACCAATGACATTTCACTGAATAACTGGAAAAGTTGTTAATCACAAAAAAGATCCATGTTCATGAAAGCAGACACAGAGTATGAGATGCTGCTTTCCATTGGTCACACATCTTTTATCTTCCTTTGTAGCAAGCCTTTCACACTGGAAGGTGTGGTTTTCATTATCTATAAAAATGGCCCCTTCACATTCTTCTGTCCAGCTAAACTTGGCACAAACAGCTGGAGATCCATGTGAGAAAAAAAGGGCAATGCTCCAACCTGAACAACATGCAAGGCCACTTCAGCATAGTGACCAAAGGCATGCACAGCACCTTGTCTACTCACCAGAAGGGAAAAATAATGAGGCGACTGATCAAAAACACGGTGGAGAAGATGAAAAACAGGGTGTTACAGGTTTGCTTCCATCCGGCATAAGAAAACATCTTAGCAGACTGAGAAAACAGAAAGAAATTGCATTCAGATAGGGTGACAGTCATGTAAAATTAAATATCTATAAGTTAAATTATATCTGGGATTTGCTTCAAAATCTTGGTGGGGGTTGGGTTATGGATAAGAAGTAGATGAAATAAGACTGGCCACATTAATAACTATTAAAACTTGATGGTGGGTCCATTGGGCCCATTACATCCTTTACCTTGTCATATGTTTGGAACCTTACATAATACAACATTTAAAAAATTAGTTATTCAGTAAAAAAAAAAATTAGTTAGAATGACTGTAATATTACTCTTGTATTACATAAGCACTATAAATTAGCATAACTACTTTTAGCATGTATGTTAGCTTGACTTTTATTGAATTCCTCCATTTAACTGGGAGGAGAGCTGGAGTGAAGAAAGGCTGGGATATGAGTGAAGCCCTGGGCTGGGCTGGGCACGCTGCAATCAAGGCAGCTACTTTCAGGCGGATGATACAGAGAATGGAGTTAGGAGGCAGCCCTTAGGGCCCTAACCTGGTTGAAGCAGAGTTTCAAGCACTTGATTCTTCCTGCTTACTTCATGCTAGTCTGTAGTGTTCATATGATTTGTGTTGTGTAAAAAGAATTATAGAAAGTGCTGTTTAATGTGGTATTAATGTAATGAGGATTCTCTTGCATTATCCAGTGTAGCTCAAGGTTGAATGGGAAAGTGTCTGAAGTTGGGGGTGGAAGCTGGGCAGAAGTGTGGCTTAGGCCTGCCAGTTTTAGAACTGAAATCTCCCAGGAAAGTCAAGGTCCATCTAGAACAAGAGAAGCAGCTTATTACACTTCAGGAATGGTTTACACTGCATTTTCCATACTCTTCCCTATTTACCAAGGGGTAGGAATGTGATCAGGCTATTGGGTTAGCAGAGGCCCAAAAGGAAGTAGCCTTCACTGCTGAAATGGAAGGCTGGCATGCCAGCGAGGAACAACTTGGGTAAGGGGAGAAAGCCAGAAGTTTACAGGGCTTGGAATATAGGGAGCTGTTTGAAGGGTCCACAGCCAGGCCTGGCAGGAAGCTGGAGATGTGCATAGATGTGAAGAGAGCCACCTGAGTTGGCAAAGTAGCACTTCTTTGGGCCCATGTACATGCCACCTATCCTGGACTGTGCAAAGATGGATATCAGACAGTTACCTCTCTCCTTTGCAGTCAAGATACTGTTAAAGTGTTGGGTCCTGGATCCAAGCTTAACATGTAGAAAAAGAGGATCATGAAGATACATGAAGAAGGGACAAAACTGCCTATGAGTGAAAACTGTAGATGTTGAGGCTGTTCTTCCTTGCAAAGAAAGAACTAGGAAATGACCCAATAACTCTTTTGTTCAGTCTCCACCTTTTGGAAGGTCTAAACAGGGGGAAAATTTGTACTCTGGATGAGTTGAATTAGAACTTAACTGAGAGGACGAACACGAAAACAAAATATTCAAAGAAGCTATGGAATAGGCACTCCTGGAGAACATCAAAAATAGGCCCTATACTATTATTCAATGTTGTTTCTACCACCAGCTGATAGAAGGTACTGGCCTTGCTCACTGAACCTCAAGTTAGATCATGACTTTTAAATTAAGAATGATTCATGATCATTAACACCATGAAGCTGTTCTCACAGTTTACCCATGTAGGGACTTGAGTTTGACATTTTATTGTCCTTCTTTTTACCTGTGGACCTCAGAACAGTTTCAAACAGTAATGAATATATATATATATATATATCATAATATATCCTAAGGTGTAAATATGACTTCTCATGTTACAGTTGAGGATAGAAAACAAAGCATTAAGTGGTTTGTCCAGGTCACCTAGGGAACCTATGTCATATCAATGTCAGGCTAGGCAGGAACAACATGGTGCTTATTCCCAGTCCTAACACCTAAATCTCCCTTTTAGTAACTCAATGAAGCTGTTTTTATGGTGGACACACACCAAAGGCAGTTGAACTAGAGGGCTAGAAGAACAGAGTAGCATAAAGTTTTAAAGTCACAGCCAATGTGGTCTTAATTTTCAGGAAGGTTACTGAGATATGATTGGAGGAGGAGATGATTATAACAGAGACGGCTACATTTAGAGAGCAACACATGGAAGAACTGGCATAATCCTCCTTCTGCTAAGTCATTTGCTACTCTGAAGCACATATAATAATCTTTACCCTTAGAACTGGATTTACAGGTCTAATTATGGTTACATACAAGAAACACAATTCTGTACTTAGCCAATTTTAACAGTAGCCAGTTGCTTTGAAATGTCTTCAAATGACTTCTGGTTACATCTGCAACAGAGTTTGGCAAATTACAATTCAGCCTAGGGACTAAAGCTGCTCAGCCCCTTGAGTTAAGAATGGTTTTCACACTTTTAAAGGAGTATAAAAGAAAAGGAAAAACAACAGAAAAAGAAGAATATGTGACAAGAGATCATATGAAGTCCACAAACGTAGATTTACTACCTGGCTTTTTGCCAAAAAGTTTGCTGAATCCAGCAAGGCTATGGTTTGTCCAGTAGTCATGTATGGATGTGAGAGTTGGACTATAAAGAAAGCTGAGCACCAAAGAATTGATGCTTTTGAACTGTGGTGTTGGAGAAGACTCTTGGGAGTCCCTTGGACTACAAGGAGATACAATCAGTCCATCCTAAAGGAAATCAGTCCTGAATATTCATCAGAAGACTGACGTTGAAGCTGACCTCCAATACTTTGGCCACCTGATGTGAAGGGCTGACTCATTTGAAAAGACCCTGATGCTGGGAAAGACTGAAGGCAGGAGGAGAAGAGGACTACAGAAGATGAGATGGTTGGATGGCATCACCGATCAATGGACTTGAGTCTGAGTGGACTCCAGAAGTTAATGATAGATAGGGAGGCCTGGTGTGCTTCAGTCCATGGGGTCTCAAAGAGTCAGATACAACTGAGCGACTGAACTGAACTGAACTTGCTGAATCCTGATCTAAAAGAACAAGATCTTATTAACTAAATTTCTTCTATATTAATGTATATTTAATTATTAGCCCTTTAAGAGGTGATCCTGAATGCAATATGTTAGTATCATTTCCCCCCACTTGGGTTTCCCCTGTGGCTCAGCTGGTAAAGAATCACCTGCAATGTGGGAGACCTGGGTTCAATCCCTGGGTTGGGAAGATCCCCTGGAGAAGGGAAAGGCTACCCACTCCAGTATTCTGGCCTGGAGAATTTCATGGACTGTACAGTCCATGGGGTCACAAAGAGTCGGAAACCTGACTGAGCAACTTTCACTTTCATTATAAATGAGTATATGTAAATAATGAACAATATGGCTTTAAGTATAGCAGGACCCACTGTCTCAGGATAAACAGAACCAATACACAGCAGAAACAGGTAGAGAAAACAATCCTAATTTTGCTTTGTTTTTTATATTTTGTATGGCCTGAGATTAGGAAGACCCTTGTTTTAAAGTCTCCTGCTCTGAAACACTGCTTCCTTAGAAAATAAATATCATTTAAATAAACATTAGTTCCCATTCCTTAAAGCTGGAGGAGGAACCCTGCAGGGCAGTGCAAGCATTTAGTGCCTATTTAGCTTTGGCTTAAGTGAGTATATGGAGTCAGTCAGCTTTAAAAACCCACAATGCCATAGTCCAGGTTTTCCTTTTAAAAGATGAGAATTCATCTTTTCTTCAGATATCTCAGCTTACTTCCTAAGCTAATATCTGCATGCAAGTTGCATAAATAGAATCCACAAAATAACCCTTCTCTCTCGACTACCATGGAGAAAAAAGATTAGAAACTAAAAACTGAAAGCTTTCCTTTCTTTGAGCTTGAAGGATCTGGGGACCTAGAGATATCCACAGACTTTAGGTGTTTTCAGAACTGAGAGCTCCGCTAAATCACTCACAGAGAGTTCTTCCTGTAAAGAGTCACAGTTAACCCAGGACATGGTACTGTTATTAGTTTTTTAATGGCAAACGTTTACCTCTAGCCAAATGTCAGCCACATCATGTACAATCATCACGAGGGTCCCACTGCGAATATAATTAGCACACCAAGAGAAGCTCATCAAACTGACAGCAGCCAGGTGGTGGATGACATGCGCTAGAAAATCCTACATAATGAGGGCAAATGGACACCATTAAGTACATGCAGCTATTTTCCAATCAGTTGAATAGATAACAATAATAATTTAAAAACTAACAACTTACATCTGCATATTTTGAAATGTGTAAAATGCTTTCACTTTCATCCTTAAACACAGTTCTTATGATAGAGATAGAACAAGTGTTATCCTCATTGATGAAGTCATTTAACTTTGAGGTAACACTGAACAGTTGCCATCTAAGTCCTAATATCTGCTGTTCTTCCCACTGCTCTACATTGGATATATGTACACTTTACACACATAGACAAGACATACATATACATAAGCATATTCCTATGTACATTTACATTTATTGTTAATTCCCTGCCTAATTCCAAGACAGATGTAATAAAATTACACAACCATTAAAATAAGAGTTACTACATATGAAATAAGTAACAAATAAAAGTGGAATAACTACATTAGTGAAATATTGAAGTATTTTGCTAATACTAAACAAAGTGGCAAACAAAAATAAGCACTGGCTAGTAGGTGGAGAAGTTGGAACTATTATACACTGCTGGTAGGAATGTAAAATGGTATGCCTGCTTTGTTGAATAGTCTGACAATTCCCCTAAAGGTTATACATAGGACTACTACATAGTATAGAAATTCCACCCCAGGTATATATCTGGGAAAAATAAAAATGTATGTTCATGTAAAAATTTTCATATAAATGCTCACAGTAGCATTATTCATAATAGCCCAAAAGTCAGAAACAACCCAGATATTTATCAGTTGAGAAACAGATAAACAAAATGTAATATTTCCACATAATGGAATATTATTCATTAATAAAAAGGAATAAAATATTGATGCATGCTACAACATGAATGAACTTTGAAAACATTATGCTAAGTAAAAGAAGCCAGGTTGGTGCAAATGTAACTGAAGTCTTTGTGAATTTTAAATCATTATAACTAGGCTCAAACACATCTTTATTAATCAAAATAGGAACCATTACAATCAACACATTTTTGCCAATGAAAAATAAGTTTGTTTATTCTTGTAGCATAAAAATCTGTGCTTCAATTTGTCAAACTCTTCAAAAGCATTTCCTGCCTCTTGCTGGTTGCGGAAGCATTTTGCCTGCAAAAAGTTGTTGAGATGCTTGAAGAAGTGGTAGTCAGTTGGTGAGAGGTCAGGAAAATACGATCGATGAGGCAAAACTTTATAACCGAATTTGTTAATCTTTTGCAGTGTTGGTTGTGCGACATTCTCCAGTTTGGCCTTGTCATGGAGAAGTACTGGCCCCTTTCTGTTGACCAATGCCAGATGCAGGCATTGCAGTTTTCGATGCACCTCATTAGGTTGCTGAGCATACTTCCCAGATGTAATGGTTTTGTTCGGATTCAGAATGCTGTAGATCAGGCAAGCAGCAGACCACCAAACAGTGACCATGACTTCTTTTGGGGCAAGTTTCGCTTTGGAAAGTGATCTGGGGCTTCTTCTCAGTCCAACCACTGAGCTGGTCAATTCTGGTTGTCATATAAAATCCACTTTTTATAACTTGTCACAAACTGATCAATAAACAGTTCATTGTTGTTGTGTAAAATAAAAGAAGATGACACTTGAAAACAATGATTTAAAAAAAAATTTTCAGTCAATTCATGAGGCACCATTTATCGAGCTTTTTCACCTTTCCAATTTGCCTCAAATGCCAGAAGACCACAGAATGGTCAACACTGAGTTTTTGAGCAACTTCTCAAGTAGTTGTAAGAGGATCTGCTTCAATGGTTGCTTTCAGTTGGTCTCTGTCACCTTCTGAAGGCCGGCCACTGTGCTCCTCATCTTCAAGGCTCTCCCCTCCTTTGCCTCTCCTCTCCTCTTCTTTAACCACTGCTGCACTGAAGATTCGTTAGCAGTTTCCTGGGCCAAATGTGTCATTGACCTTGCGAGCTGTCTCTGCTGCTTTACGACCCATTTTGAACACGAATAAGAAAAATACTCAAATTTTGTTTTTGCCTAACATCATTTCCCTAGTCTAAAACAAATATAAAATAAACAGCAAGTAATAAGTCATTAGCAAAAAAACCAGTGAGAAATGTGCATTACAATGACGTATAATATTATCACAATTTATTTAAGAATGTATTCCAATATCAAATGGGAAAGTTCAACAATGCAAAACCACAATTACTTTTGCATCAACCTAATACAAAAAAAACACAAATATTGTATGACTACATTTATATAAAATATCCAAAAGAGGCAAATGCATAGAAACAAAAAGTAGGTTAGCAGCTGCCTGGGTTTGTAGAGGTTAGAAGAAATGGGGAGCGACCACTAAAGGGTACAGAATTTCTATCTGAGCTGATGGAAATAGAATTGACTGTAGTGATGACCGCAGAATCCTGCGAATTTACTAAAAGCCACTGTATTATGTACTTTAGATAGAAGAGTTGTATGGTATGTGAATATCTTCATTAAAAGGTTTTTCAGTTCAGTTCAGTAGCTCAGGCGTGTCTGACTCTTTGTGACCCCATGAACTGCAGCACACCAGGCTTCCCTATTCATCACCAATTCTCAGAGCTTACACAAACTCATTTCCATCGAGTTGGTGATGCCTTCCTGCCATCTCATCCTCTGTCGTCCTCTTCTCCTCTTGCCTTCAATCTTTCCCAGCATCAGGGTCTTTTCTGATAAGTCAGTTCTTTGCATCAGGTGGAGAAAGTATTGGAGTTTCAGCTTCAGCATCAGTCCTTCCAATGAATACTCAGGACTGATTTCCTTTAGGATGGACTGGTTTGTTCTCCCTACAGTCCAAGAGACTCTCAAGAGTCTTCAACACCACAGTTCAAAAGCATCAATTCTTCAGTGCTCAGCTTTCTTTATAGAAAGAAATCTCACATCCATACATGACTACTGGAAAAACCATAGCTTTGACTACATGGACCTTTGTCAGCAAAGTAATGTCTCTGCTTTTTAAAATGCTGCCTAGGTTGATCATAGCTTTTCTTGCAAGGAGCAAGCATCTCTTAATTTCATGGCTGCAGTCACCATCTGCAGTGATTTTGGAGCCCAAGAAAATAAAGTCTCTGTTTCCATCGTTTCCCCGTCTATTGGCAATGAAGTGATGGGACCAGATGCCATGATCTTAGTTTTTTTGAAAGTTGAGTTTTATGCCAGCTTTTTCAGTCTCCTCTTTCACTTTCATCAAGAGACTCTAAACAGCCTCTTCATTTTCTGCCTTTTGAGTTGTATCATCTGCATGTCTGAGGTTACTGATATTTCTCCTGGCAATCTTGATTCCAGCTTGTGCTTCATCCAGCATGACATTTCGCATGATGTACTCTGCACAGAAGTTAAATAAGCAGGGTGACAATATACAGCCTTGACATACTCCTTTCCTAATTAGGAACCAGTCTGTTGTTCCATGTCTGGTTCTAACTGTTGCTTCTTGACCTGCATACAGATTTCTCAGGAAGCAGGTAAGGCAGTCTGGTATTCCTATCTCTTTAAGAATTTTGCATAGTTTGTTGTGATCCACACAGTCAAAGGCTTTGGTGTAGGCAATAAAGCAGAAGTAGATGTTTTTCTGGAACTCTCTTGCTTTTTTGATGATACAGCGGATGTTGGCAATTTGATCTCTGGTTTCTCTGCCTTTTCTAAAACCAGCTTGAACATCTGGAAGTTCCCGGTTCACATATTGTTGAAGCCTGGCTTGGAGAATTTTGACCATTTTTTACCAGCACATAAAATGAGTGCAATTGTGCGGTAGTTTGAACATTCTTCGCCATTGACTTTCTTTAGGATTGAAATGAAAACTGACCTTTTCCAGTCCTATGGCCACTGCTGAGTTTTCCAAATTTGCTGGCATATTGAGTGCAGCACTTTCACAGCATCATCTTTTAGAATTTGAAATAGTTCAACCTGAATTTCATCACCTCCACTAGCTTTGTTCGTGATAATGCTTCCTAAGGCCCACTTGACTTTGCGTTAAAAAAAATTTTTTTTAATGCTTTTAAAAAAACTTAAAATTTCAGTTTCCTTGTAGCCGAAGTAAAAAAAAAAAAAAGGAACAATAACAGCCTAATTTATTGAGTACTTTCTATATACCAGAAAGTGGTTTATATGGATTAACTTGTTTAATCCTCACAACTGGAGGAGATAGAAACTATTTTTAACTCTATATATGAGGAGATTAAGTTTAGTGAATATAATCAACTAGCTCAAAATGTTAATGAGTGGGGAAGACAGGATCTACACTCAGGCAGTGTGACTTCAGAGCCTGTGCTTGACCCAATTCTTAACAGTTTTTTGTCTCTGAAAAAATATATTTTTAAATATGTGATTTAAATCTATATTTAATTTTTTGAAAGGTGCTATGGACCTGTATATAATAAAGAGAAAGCAACTACTGAAAAAAATCAAAGGCTCAAAAGTGGGAAAAGGATGATTACAGGGTCATCCTACCTGAGTCTGTCTATTAAGACCTTCTAAATAATGATTATTTTCGATTCTATCCCTTGAGAAAATGCCTCAATTAAAATTTGATATATTCTTAGCCTAAACTAAGTTAATAATAATTAAACTATAGCGATCAAGGTTTCTGGAAAAGGAAACCATTTGAACCAGATTTCCACACTCCGTTCTCGTGGTTTACTCCGTAAGTCTTTTCTTAGAGCCTCAGTTGAGCGGCTGACGGTGCCCCTTAGTGTTAGATAATGTGCACCATCGCGGAAGCATCAGTTAGTCAAGCCAGCTTGGCTTTAGCTCCTTAATACGAATTCCACTTAATTTTATTTATCATACGAATTCTGCTACAAACGGATCTTTTATGTAGAACATAACATAGTACATGCCAAGAGTATTTTTCATTTGACCTGTGTACCGCTCGTGCACACAAGAAAGTCTGACTGCACGGAGAGTGCAGAGCAAAAAAAAATCTTTTCAGAGCCACTGAATACATCAAAGAATAAAGTAGTCTGTAATCAACTAAAAGATATGGTTGTAGAATTAAAACTACTAGCACTTTCTTTGCACTGAAGAACACTAAATCTCCAAACCAAGAGAAAGAAACAGACATCATGAAGGAGAGTCCTTTTCTCATCAAACAAGAGTGGAACTTCAAAGTTAAAGTTTTTATAATATTTCACTACAAATTATCAAGTAACCAAAAAGTGAGTATATTTGCACTATTCTATGTGCTATAAAAGTAAAAAAAAAAACTATCAACAAGAACTAAAAACACAAAAAAAATATAATTTAAAGATTAGATTTGGGGAAGGGGGATGAACATTTTTGAAAAAAATGGATAAAGCAGCTTTGTAAATAAGACACTTACCTTTCTCTTGATATCAGAGCCAAGGCTAAATAAGAGAGACCAATAAAAACTCATCTCCAAAATGTAGTACCAGTACTGGGATGGCAGCAAGGGCTGAGGAAAATAAGAGTATTCACTATTTTAATGCCACCATATAAACAACTCATTTTAAGGATTAAAAATATTGTTTATACCTATTTGGCTATGCAGTCCATGGAATTCTCCAGGCCAGAATACTAGAGTGGGTAGCCTTTCCCTTCTCCAGGGGATCTTCCCAACCCAAGGATCGAACCCAATTCTCCCACATTGGCAGGGGGATTCTCAGCTGGATTCTGATACCAGCTGAGCCACCAGGGAAGCTTTTATACCACAAATTCCTCTCAAATAATAATGTTTTACATTCCAACTTCTGAGAAGGAATTAGAGACAATATTTTGAGGCATTTTCATTCTAAAAAGGGGGACAAGAATTCCAAAATCAAGTTAAATGTCTTGTTTAAAATTTAATAAAACTACCACAGGTGTAACTGCACTCTTTTAGTTGACTGAGAGTTAAATTAGATGGAAAAGTTGTTTTGCTGGCTCAACAAAATACCTTGTTTTATGTTTATTGAGTACTACTCAAATCTGATGTCCTAACCTCTTTTCCGGTGATAAACTGGTGACCCAAATTGGCCCATTCTCAAATGAGACAGTAGTAAAATATATACAATTATTTAGGTAGTCTAAAAATGTCTCCTATAAAATAGAATGAAATTCCTATGGTTAGAGTTTTCTTTAAAGCAAGGGGTGGTGTGCTTCTTTTAGATAAGCTGAGACATTATATTATGTGGTGTGATGGGTTGTAATGTTAATGCCCTCAATGAATCTCACCTCATATTCATGTCCTGGTAAAGTCGCCTCCAACATGACCAGGAATTTGAATTCTGGGCATTGGTCAAGGGGACATAGCAAATATGATGCAATCAGAGACCTCATAAGCACCAAGTAAGAAACCTGAGGCTAAAGCCTTTGACTGTGTGGATCACAATAAACTGCAGAAAGCTCTTAAAGAGATGGGAATGCCAGACCATCTTACCTGTCTCCTATGAAACCCATATGCTGGTCAAGAAGAAACAGTTAGAACCCTATATGGAACAACTGATTGGTTCAAGATTTAGAAAGGAGTACGACAGGGAGGTCTGTTGTTACCCTGTTTGCTTAACCTATATGTTGAGCCCATAATGAGAAATGCCGGGCTGGATGAGTTACAAACTGGAATCAGGTAGGTGGGAGAAATATCAACAACCTCAGACATGTGGATGATACCACTCTAATAGCATAAAGTGAAGAGGAACTAAAAAGCCTGTTGATGAGGGTGAATGAGGAGAGTGAAAAAGCCAGCTTAAAACTAAATATTAAGAAAACAAAGATCATGGCATCCGGCCCCATTACTTCATGGCAAATAGAAGGGGAAAAGGTGGAAAAAGTGACAGATTTCCTCTTCTTAGGCTCTAAAATCACTGAGAATGGTGACTACAGCCATGAAAACAGAAGACAATTGCTTCTTGGCAGGAAAGTTATGAGAAACCTAGACAGTAGGTTGAAAAGCAGAGACATTATTCTGCCATCAAAAGCCACATAGTCAATGCTATGGTCTTCCCAGTGTCATATATGGTTGTGAGAACTTGACCATACAGAAGACAGAGTGCCAAAGAATTGATGCCTTTGAACTCTGATGCTACAGAAGACTTCTGAAAATCCCTTGGAGAGCAAGGAGACCAAACCAGTCAATCTTAAAGGAAATCAACCCCGAATAATCATTGGAAGGACTGATCCTGAAGAATCCAGTATTTTGGTCGTCTGATACAAACAGCCGACTCATTGGAGAAGACTCTGTTGCTGGGAAAGACTGAGGGCAGAAGGAGAAGAGGGTATCAGAGGATGAGATGGCTGGATGGCATCACCAATGCAATGGACAGGAACTTGGGCAAACTTTGGGAGATGGTGAGGGACAGGGAGGCCTGGTGTGCTGCAGTCCAAGGGGTCTCAAAACATTGGACATGACTGGGCAACTGAAAAACAACAAGAAACCTGAGCTACCCTGCTGGAGGCCACAAAGTAGAGAATCAAGATGTCCACTGACAAAAATACAAATGAGGGCACATGTGCTATCCCCTAATCAGCCTGTCAACTAACTGAAAATACATTAATGAACTCAGCTAACACCAGATGGAAAAGAACTGCTTGGCTGTGCCTAGCCCAAATTGCTAATCCATATCATAAACAAATAAATGGTTGTTGTTTTAAAGTACTAAGTTTTGGTGATGATTTATTATGCACCAGCATAAACTGACACACCTGAGAAGTGAAGAGTAAGGCTAATACATTAAATGGAATAGTTTTCTGATCAACTCATCATCCTTGATAAGGCCATAAAAGAAAGAGAACTTCTGCTTTCTTCTATGACAAACAAGTCTGTATGAGACTAACCCTCCTAGTGAGAACTACTTCAAAAATATGGAAAAGTATAGATAATATCTGCTTCAAGGTACCAAGGAACAACCAAAGCACCCTGAAGCATCCCATGGAGCCAAAATTTCAAAGAGAAGAAAAATGCATTAAATGTAATCTTTTATTTCTAGTGCATCCTTAATTCAAGAAGTACTACAGACCCTACACAGGATAATTTCAAAGAAAACTACACCTATGTATAGCATAAAGTCCATGTTTGCTGATTTACAAGCACTATTGAGCCCAGAGACTCTATACTCTCTATATTCTCTGAGGTATAATCATTCCTTTATCTTAAAAATATAGTGAAAAGAAAATATCTAGATGTTCAAACACAATGTTATTTCAAACACAGAAAAGGTGCAGTTGAAATAAATAAAAGAGAGTTTCTAGAAAACACCAGCTCAAATTTCTAAGCAGAAGTTAAGTAGGACTTTTGGCAATCTTATAGTGCGAGGAAGCAAACTGATGTTCAGGGCCAGCCAAGGAAAAGGAGTCCTGGTAAATACTATAACCTTTTATTTAAAACCACTGTAAGAGAATTCCCTAGAAATACAGATGAGTTATATATAAAAATATCTGCCCTTACAAAGACTGGAATTCACATAAAATCACTTCAAAACATATAAAACTTAAGATGATCTGTCTCAACTCTACCTGCTTAACAGAAGCGAAAATAAGTCCATTCAGGGGGGTAGATAATATCATTCCTAAGTATAATTTTTCATATGCAATGTCTATCATTCAACCAAAAGTTATCAAGCAAAAGGGGACAGGAATAAGAAAGAAAACACTTGATCAAGATATTGGATTTATCAGGCTATGACTTTAAAATGACTTTTAAAATTAACTAGGTTTTTAAGGTTATTTTTAAAAATTAGTGAGAATTTTTAATAGAGAACTGGAATCCATGAAAAAGAATTAAGTGAAAATTTGAGAACTGAAAAATACCATAACTAAAATTGAGAACTCAAAGGATGTGTTTCAAAGCACGTTAGACACTGCTGAAAAATGTACTAGTGATCCGGAGGACATGAAGTAGAAAATATCCAGAGCTGTGAAGTATCTGTGATTTTACTCTACTTGCAAGTTATCTTGCCACAGTTTCATGAATGCTGGTAGGATATATGAGACTCCTGGGTCAGAGATAAAGGATAGTTTATTTTTCACAGTACTATAGTTGCCAGATTAACAATATTTGGGCCAGTTCTCCCATTCCAATTCCCATGACTAAACAAAAGGGTCAGTTCATGCAAAGATGGGCACAATATAAAGGACAGAAATGGTATGGACCTAACAGAAGGAGAAGATATTAAGAAGAGGTGGTAAGAATACACAGAACTATACAAAAAAGATCTTCAACATCCAGATAACCATGATGGTGTGATCACTAACCTAGAGTCAGACACCCTGGAATGAGAAGTCAAGTGGGCCTTAGGAAACACCACTACGAATAAAGCTACTGGAGATGATGGAATTCCAATTGAGCTATTTCAAATCCTAAAAGATGCTGCTGCAAAAGTGCTGCACTCAATATGCCAGCAAATTTGGAAAACTCAGCAGTGGCCACAGGACTGGAAAAAGTTAGGAAAAAGTTAGTTTTCATTCCATTCCCAAAGAAAGGCAATGCCAAAGAATGCTCAAACTACCACACATTTCTACTCTCTCACACACTAGCAAAATAATATTCAAAATTCTCTAAGTCAGGCTTCAACTATACAAGAACCAAGAACTTCCAGGTTCAAGTTGCATTTAGAAAAGGTAGAGGAACTAGAGATCAAATTGCCAACACCCACTGTATCATCAAAAAAGCAAGAGAGTTCCAGAAAAACATCTACTTCTGCTTTATTGACTATGCCAAAGCCTTTGACTGTGTGGATCACAACAAACTGGAAAATTCTTGAAGAGACAGGAATACCAGACCACTTTACCTGCCTCCTGAGAAATGTGTATGCAGGTCAAGAAGTAACAGAACTGGACATGGAACAAAACTGGTTCTAAATTGGGAAAGCAGTATATTGTCAAGGCTGTATATTGTCACCCTGCTTATTTAACTTCTATGCAAAGTACATCAGGCGAAATGTTAGGCTGAATGAAGCACAAGCTGGAATCAAGATTGCAGGAGAAATGTCAATAACCTCAGATATGCAGATGACACCACCCTTATGGCAGAAAGTGAAGAACTAAAGAGCCTCTTGATGAAAGTGAAAGAGGAGAGTGAAAAAGTTGGCTTAATGCTCAACATTCAGAAAACCAAGATTACGGCATCCAGTCCAATCACTTCATGGGAAATAGATGGGGAAACAATGGAAACAGTGACAGACTATCTTGGGGGCTCCAAAATCACTGGAGATGGTGACTGCAGCCATGAAATTAAAAGACGCTTGCTTCTTGCAAGAAAAACTATGATCATCCTAGACAGCATATTAAAAAGCAGAGACATTACTTTGCCAATAAAGGTCGATCTAGTCAAAGCTATGGTTTTTCCAGTAGTTACGTATGGATGTGAGAGTTGGACTATAAAGAAAGGTGAGTGCCAAAGAATTGATGCTTTTGAACTGTGGAGAATACTCTTTAGAGTCCCTTGGACTACAAGGAGATCCAACCAGTCTATCCTAAAGGAAATCAGTCCTGAATATTCATTGGAAGGACTGATGCTGAAGCTGAAGCGCCAATACTTTGGCCACCTGATGTGAAGAACTGATTGATTTGAAAAGACCCTGATGCTGGGAAAGATTGAAAGCGGGAGGAGAAGGGGACGACAGAGGAGGAGATGGTTGGATGGCATCACTGACTCAATGGACGTGAGTTTGAGTAAGCTCCAGGAGTTGGTGATGGACAGGGAAGCCTGGCGTGCTGCAGTCCATAGAGTCGCAAAGAGTTGGACATGACTGAGCAACTGAACTGAACTGACATTTGCACATGCAGTGGGTTTTGTTACCAGAGAGGAATCCCGAAATAGGGAACCTAAATCTTTCATAATGGACAATAATATGTATATCCACTGTTCCAGAGGAGAGACTGCCTCCATCTTCCAAGCTTGTTTGTCATACAGACATCCTTCAAAAGAAAATACAGAACAGAAGTCAGCCTGTGGTTCACTTCATATGACATGCAGAAATGCAAGAGATCTGTGGAGAACTGTGTTCCTATAGATTGAAGCAGTGAGGCAGAGGATAGAAAATACGAGAAAACGCATGTAAGAGACTTGGGACCTAGTGTAAAAGTCTAGCATATTAGCTCACTTGTAAATTGAAATTCCAGAAAGAGACGAGAGAGAAAAAAGAACAGAAGCAACCGCTAAGAATTTTTCAAAATGTACTTAAGACATCAAGCTACATATTCAAGAATTACTATGGACAATAAGCAGGATAAATTCAAAGATGATGACATTTATGCCTATCACAATCATACTGCTAAAAGACAAATACAAAATGTTTAAAACAGAGCAATAAAAAGACATTATTCAAAGAAGCAAAAATAAAATGGACAACTGAGTTAAAGAAACTGAGGGGATCCAGAAGACAATGGGATGACATCTTTGAAGTGCTCAAAGAAAATAACTAGTAACCTAGAATTCTATGCCCAGGAAAACTTTTAAAAAATAGGGTAAAATGATGATATTTCCAGACAAGCAAGCCAAAGGGGCTCCTTCAGCCATGAGGATAGTAGCGCCAGATGGAGGTGTGGAAGTGCAAGGTGCCAGGGCCAGAGAGGAGAGGGCACACCGACATTTACAGATCAGTTACAGTCGTGACCTGAAGGCTTTAAACGTCTCAAGGAGGACACAGGTGCAGTCTGATGGCCTTTCACTGACGGGAAAGAGGTAAGAGCATTAGTTTGTATTAGACTCCAATAACTGAAGAGTGCAAAAGGTAATGTCAGGGAACACCACTGAAAGAATGTGTGCATGCATGCTAAGTCACTTCAGTCGTGTTTGACTCTTTCAGACCCTATGGACTATAGCCCGCCAGGCTCCTCTGTCCATGGCATTCTCCAGGCAAGAATCTGGAGTAGGTTGCCATGCCTTCCTCCAGGGGAATCGTCCTAACCCAGGAATTGAACCCATGTCTCTTATCTCCTTCACTGACAAGCAGGTTCTTTACCACTAATGCCTGCATAACTGAAAAGCTAATATAAGGGAAGAAATAAAGTAATAATTTGAACCCCAATGTTCATTGCAGCACTGTTTATAATAGCCAGGACATGGAAGCAACCTAGATGTCCATCAGCAGATGAATGGAGAAGAAAGCTGTGGTATATATACACAATGGACTATTATTCAGCCATTAAAAAGAATACATTTGAATCAGTTCTAATGAGTTAGATGAAACTGGAGCCTATTATACACAGTGAAGTAAGCCAGAAAGAAAAACACCAATACAGTATACTAACGCATATATATGGAATTTAGAAAGATGGTAACGATAACCCTGTATACGAGACAGCAAGAGAGACACGGATGTATTGAACAGTCTTTTGGACTCTGTGGGAGAGGGCGAGGGCGAGATGATATGGGAGAATGCCCTTGAAACACGTAAATTATCATATGTGAAACAGATCACCAGTCCAGGTTCTATGCGTGATATAGGGTGCTCAGGGCTGGTATACTGGGATGACCCAGAGGGATGGGATGGGGAGGGAGGTGGGAGGGGGGTTCAGGATGGGGAACACTTGTACACCCATGGAGGCTTCAAGTCAATGTATGGCAAAACCAATACAATATTGTAAAGTAAAATTAATTAATTATTTAATTTAAAAAAATAATAATTTTAAAAACTTCACTGTCCTATAAAAACAGTAATGAGAGTACCAAAAAAGGAAATGTATCCAGTGATACAAGTAGAAAATAAATAGCAAGATGGTAAATTTAAATATATAATTACATTAACCATAAACAAAGTAAAGGAATTAGACAAGTGATGGGTAAATAACGAACACGAATGAGTAAGCTCCAGTAGACAAAGCACTAAGGACTGCATGAAAGTAGACAGAGAGCAGGAAGGGACTCACACCGAACTCAGGGAGCAAGCTGCTGAGGAGGGGAGGGACTATATCAGGGGGACTTACCTGTCTGGGATAGCCATTCCAAACTTCCCACAGGTCATATACCCAAGGTTTCTGAAAAAAGCAAGCAACCAAGAGAAACTTTGTTCAGAGTCAAAGGCTGATTTCAGCAGAAACCTAAGCCCTTCCTGATGTCACTGATAGGGAGGAAACATGCACAGTGAGATACTTTCATCATTTTCCTGCTCCCCCAGCAGTATCTCCCTCATTCTGCAGATATTTCTACTTGTTCTTATATAATACCTCTGTGACATGCAAGAGTTCTAGTGAGTCTGGGATCAATAATAGTCCTGATTCTCAAAGGAAATTATTTATTTCAAACAAGTACCTCTTCTAATGAAATTGTTTCTGGACCAATTAGATTACTGCTTCTGTAGCAATAAAAAATCTTGAAATATTCATAGCAACAAAATATCTTAAGAGAAATCTTAAAAGAACCTTAAGAGACATCCCCAAAAGCTAGTTATCTTTTTTTCTGTTAACAATTTACTATTAATTTTATACATCACTTAATAAGATAATCATTTAATAATTACTATAACAGACAATGCAAAGGGAATATGATAAGGAGAGATTTGATTTCTGATGGGCAAGTAGTGAAAGTCTTCATAAACAAGGGATTAGAGTGAGTAGAGGTTTAAAAGCTGGTTAACTTATTGACAGTATATCTCAAGGGATTCATAAGCAGGAATTTTTCAAATTAAAGACAAATTACAGTCAAAGATATATCAGAAAGAAAACTTACATCATAAAGAAATGCAATTCCAGCAATGGTAATAATTAGGTAAAATGTAAATCGCCAGCTGCCAAAAGAAATAAAACACTTGTTAAGGTGACTGACATCTGAGAAGAAAAACATTTGGTATAACAGTTTGGAAAGAATGCACAGTCTGGAGTCAGAAACAAACCTAAGTGAATATCCTGATTATGCCACTTGTTGGATGGCTAAAAGTTCAGGTATGTCACTTAACTCAAGGAGTCTTAATATCTTCATCCATAAAATGGGAATAACAAAACTTACCTCCAAATGTAAAAATACTGAAGATAACTTATGAAAAATTATGATATAGTGCCTGGTATGAACTAAGCAACCAGTGTTAAGCTATTGTTATTACTAATATGCCTAGCCTACTTCCTGACACATGATAAATGATGTTTGATAATCAGTTCAGTTAAGTACAGTCACTCAGTCATGTCCAATGCTTTGCGAACCCATGGACTGCAACACGCCAGGCCTCCCTGTCCATCACCAACTCCTGGAGCTTGCACAAACTCATGTCCATTGAGTTGGTGATGCCATCTAACCATCTCATCCTCTGTCGTCCCCTTCTTCTTCTGCCTTCAATCTTTCCCAGCATCAGGGTCTTTTCAAATCAATCAGTTCTTCACATCAGGTGGCCAAAGTATTGGAGCTTCAGCTTCAGCATCAATCCTTCCAATGAATATGCAGGACTGATCTTTAGGATTGACTGATTGGCTCTCCTTGCAGTCCAAGGGGACTCTCAAGAGTCTTCTCCAACACCACAGTTCAAAAGCATCAATTCTTTGGTGCTCAGCTTTCTTTATAGTCCAACTCTCACATCCATACATGACTACTGAAAAAACCACAGCTTTGACTAGATGGACCTTTGTTAGCAAAGTAATGTCTCTGTTTTTTAATATGCTGCCTAGGTCAGTCATAGTTTTTCTTGCAAGAAGCAAGCGTCTTTTAATTTCATGGCTGTGGTCACCATCTGCAGTGATTTTGGAGCCCAAGAAAATAAAGTCTCTCACTGTTTCCATTGTTTTCCTGTCTATTTGCCATGAAGTGATGGGACTGGATGCCATAATCTTAGCTTTCTGAATGTTGAGCTTTAAGCCAACTTTTTCACTCTCCTCTTTCACTTTCATTAAGAGGCTTTTTAGTTCCTCTTCACTTTCTGCCATAAGGGTGGTATCATATGCATATCTGAGGTTATTGATACTTCACCTGGCAATCTTAATTCCAGTTTGTGCTTCATCCAGTCTGACATTCTGCATGATTTACTCTGCATATAAGTTAAATAATCAGAATGACAATATATAGCCTTGACTTACTCCTTTTCCTATTTGGTATCAGTCTGTTTTCCATGTCTGGTTCTAACTGTTGCTTCTTGACCTGCATACAGATTTCTCAGGAGGCAGGTCAGGTGGTCTGGTATTCCCATCTTTTTAAGAATGTTGCACAGTTTGTTGTGATCCACACGGTCAAAGGATTTGGCATAGTCAATAAAGTATAAGTAGATGTTTTTCTGAAACTCTCTTGCTTTTTTGATGATCCAATGGATGTTGGAAATTTGATCTCTGGTTCCTCTGCCTTTCCTAATCCAGCTTGAACATCTGGAAGTTCATGGTTCACGTACTGTTGAAGCCTGGCTTGGAGAATTTTGAGCATTACTTTGCTAGTGTGTGAAATGAGTGCAATTGTGTAGTAGTTGGAACATTCTTCGGCATTGCCTTTCTTTGGGACTGGAATGAAAACTGACCTATTTGATAATACTGTTATCTAATTACTCACTTCATCCAAATTTAATTCCCAGTGAAAAGGTTTCTATGCGGCTAGACTTTAGTCATCTTTCTGAAAAGCACATTTTAAAAGAATGTTTTTCTCATGTATGGAGAGGGATCTATATAGAATAAGAGACACTTAAAAGACCAATTGTAATGCACAGGTCTTATTTAGATCCTGATTCAGATAAACAAACTACAAAGAAAAGTATAAGACAAACAAGGAAACCTGAATAGTGATTGAATATTTGCTGCTATTAAATAAATTTTTGAGGTATGACAATATCTAAAATGGGCTTCCCTGGTGGCATACTGGTAAAGAATATGCATGCCAATGCAGGAGACTCAACACATGTGGGTTTGACCCGTGGGTCAGGAAGATCAACTGGAGGAGGAAATGGCAATCCACTCCAACATTCTTGCCTGGGAAATCTGATGGACACAGGAGCCTGTTGGGCGACAGTCCATGGAGTCACAGAGTCTGACATGACTGAGCACACACACTCACACACACAATATCTAAAACAGTTCTTATCACTTAGAGATACATACTAAAATACTTACAAATAAATCACACAATGTCTGATACTTGCTTCAAATGTAATCTTCAAGAGTAACTGGATGAAGGTGATCAAAAGGGACAAACTTCTAGTTATTAATTAAATTGGTACTGTAATGTATAACATGATGACTATATTTACACTGCTATATGGTATATTTGAGAGTTGCTAAGAAAATAAATTCAAAAAGTTTTCATCACAAGGAAACTGTTTCTTCTTTTTCCTTTATGTATCTATGTGAGATGACAGATGTTAACTAAACTGACTATGGTAATCATTTCACAACATTTGTAAGGTAAGTCACTTTAAATTTATACAGTGCTGTATGTCAAATATATCACAATAAAATTGAAAGAAAAATATTATCCACATACAAAAAAATCTGGTAACAGAGAAGTAGATGGGGGCAGAGACGACACATGATAGCCTTGAGTTGATAATTATTAAAGTTGGTGATGAATACATAGCATACACAGCTTATTAAGCCAGTCTTCCTACTTTTGTATATGTTTGTGTGTGTGTGTTAGTCATTTAGTCATGTCCAACTGTTTGCAAGTCCATGGACTCTAACCCACCAGGCTCCTCTGTCCATGGGATTCTCTAGGCAAGAACACTGGAGTGTGTTGCCATGCCCTCCTCCAGAGAATCTTCCCAACCCAGGGATCAAACCCAGGCCTCCCACATTGTGGGCAGATTCTTTACCATTTGAACTACCTGGGATGCTTTGAATATGTTTACTACTTTGCTGGGCTGGATGAAGCACAAGCTAGAATCAAGATTGCCAGGAGAAATATCAATAACCTCAGATATGCAGATGACACCACCCTTATGGCAGAAAGTGAAGAAGAACTAAAGAGCCTCTTGATGAAAGTGAAAGAGGAGAGTGAAAAAGTTGGCTTAAAACTCAACATTCAGAAAACTACAATCATGGCATCTGGTCCCATCACGCATGGCAGACAGATGGGGAAACAGTGCAAACAGTGGCTGACTTTATGATTTTGGGCTCCAAAATCACTGCAGATGGTGATTGCAGCCATGAAATTAAAAGACGCTTACCCCTTGGAAGGGAAGTTATGACCAGTATAGACAGCATATTAAAAAGCAGAGACATTACTTTGCCAACAAAGGTCCATCTCGTCAAGGCTATGGTTTTTCCAGTGGTCATGTGTGGATGTGAGAGTTGGACTATAAAGAAAGCTGAGCACAGAAAAATTGATGTTTTTGAACTGCGGTGTTAAAGAAGACTCTGGAGAGTCACCTAGACTGCAAGGAGATTCAACCAGTCCATCCTAAAGGAAAGCAGTCCTGAATATTCATTGGAAGGACTGATGCTAGAGCTGAAACTACAATACTCTAGCAACCTGATGTGAAGAACCAATTCATTGGAAAAGATCCTGATGCTGGGACAGATTGAAGGCGGGAGGAGAAGGGGACAACAGAGGATGAGATGGTTGGGTGGCATCACCGACGTGATGGAATGAGTTTGAGTAGGCTCTGGGAATTGATGATGGACTGGGAGGCCTGGCATGATGCAGTCCATGGGGTCGCAAAGAGTTGGACATGAATGAGCAACTGGACTGAACTAAACTGGAGGCCATTCCTCAGTTCACACAGTCAAGTAGTGACACAGTCAAGGCAGTAATGTAGGTCTTTGAACCCTGAATCCAGTAGTGTTTCTGGAAAACTGTCACTGCTTCTAAGCTACATGATGGTTTTCCTTCATGGCAACAGATTAGGGAAAAATGTAGGGTTCAATTACTCAGAAAGTTGAACCATAAAGTGAGCCAGTTGAGAATTGTTCCCACTTGTTTCATTTACTGCTGGTTCACCAAAGCTGTGTGCTTAAATGTAGAGAGCATTTCCTTGATCCTTAATTATTCTGGCCAAACAAGAAGTACAAAAATGAGATGATGAGATCTGACAGGCCCAAAGGAAACCATAAGCTTGGTGGCACATCTGATATCATTTGCGTCTCAAACATGTATTGACCTCTTAATCCTGTTTCAGGAACCATGCTAAGCATACTTGTGTGATGCCATATTTTCATCTTTACAACAAGCTTATGAAGTAACTCCTTTTGTGAGTTGTTGCTTGGTTCTCACAACAACACTAGAAGGTAGATGAGATGAAGACTAAAGAATGTTAAGTTTGAGAGAGATCACATAATTCACCCAAGACTGTATGGTAACAATCAGTATTGTTGTTCAGTCACTAAGTTGTGTCCGACCCTGCGACTCTATGGCCTGCAGCACACCAGGCTTCCCCGTCCACTATCTCCCAGAGTCTGCCCAAATTCATGTCCATTGAGTCGGTGATACCCTGCAACCATCTCACCCTCTGCCTCTCACTTCTCCTTTTGTCTTCAGTCTTTCCCAGCATCAGGGTCTTTTCCAATGAGTTAGCTTGCTGCATCAGATGGCCAAAGTAATAGAGCTTTAACATCAGTCCTTCCAATGAGTAATCAAGGCTGATTTCTTTTAGGATTGAATTGTTTGATCTCCTTGCAGTCCAAGGGACTCTCAAGGGTCTTCTCCAGCACCACAATTCGAAAGCATCAATTCTTTGGTGTTCAGTCCTCTTTATGGTCCAACTCTCACATCCATACATGACAGATGGGAAAAATGTAGCTTTGACTATACGGACCTTTATTGGCAAAGTGATGTCACTGCTTTTTAAGCAGTGACAGTGTACTGTCTACGTTTGCCATGGTTTCTTTCCAAGGAGCAAGCATCTTTTAATTTCATGGCTGCAGTCACCATCCACAGTGATACTGGAGCCCAAGAAAATAAAATCTGTCCCAATCAGATGCAAGAGTAAAATCCAAGTTTCACATCCTCCTGGACCAGCCCTATCAGGTCTATTACACTATTCCAGGGGTTCTCAAAGTCAGGGATTTCTGACATCAAAACACTTTCATAATGATAATGAAAAGTTATTTGTCTTATTTCTTACTCTCATTTCCTCCCAAGTGTCCAGTGGCATTTCCCAGAGGCTACATGTCCTGTGATGATATCATTGCTCTGATAGCTGATGACATATGTGCTTGTGTAGTCTTATATTTTAGTTTCCATTTCTAGTACAGTAAACATCAATCCCAAAGAAAAGGCAATGCCAAAGAATGCTCAAACTACTGCACAATTGCACTCATCTCACACACTAGTAAAGTAATGCTTAAAATTCTCCTAGCCAGGCTTCAGCAATACATAAACTGTGAACTTCCAGATGTTCAAGCTGGTTTTAGAAAAAGCAGAGGAACCAGAGATCAAATTGCCAACATCCAATGGATCATCGAAAAAGCAAGAGAGTTCCAGAAAAACATCCATTTCTGCTTTATTGACTATGGCAAAGCCTTTGACTGTGTGGATCACAATAAACTGGAAAATTCTTAAAGAGATGGGAATACCAGACCATCTGACCTGCCTCTGGAGAAACCTGTATGCAGGTCAGGAAGCAACAGTCAGAACTGGACATGGAAAAACAGACTGGTTCCAGATAGGAAAAGGAGTACATCAAGGCTGTATATTGTCACCCTGCTTATTTAACTTCTATGCAGAGTACATCATGAGAAACGCTGGGCTGGAGGAAGCACAAGCTGAAATCAAGATTGCCAGGAGAAATATAAATAACCTCAGTAAGATATGCAGATGACATCACCCTTATGGCAGAAAGTGAAGAAGAACTTGATGAAAGTGAAAGAGGAAAGTTAAAAAGTTGGCTTAAAACTCAACATTCAGAAAACCAAGATCATGGCATCTGGTCCCATCACGCATGGCATACAGATGGAGAAACAGTGCAAACAGTGGCTGACTTTATTTTTCTGGGCTCCAAAATCACTGCAGATGGTGACTGCAGCCATAAAATTAAAAGATGCTTACTCCTTGGAAGGAAAGTTATGACCAACCTAGACAGCATATTAAAAAGGAGAGACACATGTCCACTGGGAAGACCCAGAGGGATCGGGTAGAGAGGGAGGTGGGAGGGGGGATCGGGATGGGGAATACATGTAAATCCATGGCTGATTCATGTCAATGTATGACAAAAAACACTACAATATTGTAAAGCAATTAGCCTCCAACTAATAAAAATAAATGAAAAAATAAATTAAAAAAATAAATAAAAAGGAGAGACATTACTTTGTCAACAAAGGTCCGTCTCGTCAAGGCTATGGTTTTTCCAGTGGTCATGTATGGATGTGAGAGTTGGACTATAAAGAAAGCTGAGTGCCAAAGAATTGATGCTTTTGAACTGTAGTGTTGGAGAAGACTGTTCAGAGTCCCTTGGACAGCAAGGAGATCCAACAAGTCCATCCTAAAGGAGATCAGTCCTGGGTGTTCATTGGAAGGACTGATGCTGAAGTTGAAGGTCCAATACTTTGGCCACCTGAGGCCAAAGAGCTGACTCATTGGAAAAGACTCTGATGCTGGGAAAGATTGAGGGCAGGATGAGAAGGGGACGACAGAGGATGTGATGGTTGGATGGCATCATTGACTTGATGGACATGGGTTTGAGTGGACTCTGGGAGTTGGTGATCGACAGGGAGGCGTGGCATGCTGCGGTTCATGGGGTTGCAAAGAGTCGGACATGACTGAGCAACTGAACTGAACTGCAATATCAGTAGGTATAACAAGCAGATGCTCTTTGGGTTCTGTAATAGCTTTTAAGAGAACAAAGGGGTCCTGAAACCAAAAAGCTTGGGAGCTGCCGTGATTCACTAATTGTGAAGCAATTGACTAACTGTGCTTCACTAATTTTCCTTGCTTCAGATGAACCTAAAGCAGTAAAATGTCCTTTTTTCCAGGAATGGCTGAGACAAACATAATTGTGAGGGGGGAAAAAAAACTCTTGGAAAAAAACAGAAATTGATTGGTTAGACAGAGATGGCAAAGTTGAAAGATGAAGGCTGCTGAGTTAGATCAGGGAGGAGCCGGACAGAGGGAACTCAAGTGACATGAGACCGGACAGACGTGGTTCTCCACAGTGGAGGGGCAGAATGGAGCAGGCAGTGGACCTGCCCAGTGGCCAGCTGGGCAAGCGGCCGTCCACCCGGCAGGAGAAGAGTGCCTCCCGCCAGCATGAGACATACCAGGTACTTGGGATTGTGTGCGTGCATGCTTAGTCATGTTGGATTCCTTGTGACCTCATGGACTACAGCCTGCCAGGCGCCAGTTCCTTTTCCTCCATGGAACTAGGCAAGAATATTGGAGCAGGCTGCTATTCCTCTTCCAGGGGATCTTTCCACCCCAAGGACTGAACCTGTGTCTCTTATGTCTCCTGCATTGGCAGGTGGATTCTTTACCACTGAGCCACCGGGAAAGCCCATTTGGAAATTGCTTGGTGTTTTAATTAAATTTCTCATTGCCAAATGGAAATACTTATTTTAAAAAGAAAAGTGATCAGTTAATATGGAATATGACTTAAAAATAAGGATTCACTATGGATTAAAATCCTGAACGCTGTAAAACAGGGCTTAGGGGTCATCCTTAAGTAATCTAGGTAACAATACACTGAACTTAAGGTGTTCAGAGATTAACCATCCTGGTATTGTGGAGAAGTGTTGGCCTGTTGGAGAGTAATTTGTAAGAGTTCTGTGTTGGGGAATAATTTTCCTGAGATTTTCAAAATGCCTGGGGCTAGGTAGTTAAAGAAAGTTATTAAAGTTTAGCCTCTCACAGGCTTGATTTCTTTGAGAGTCTTATACCAAATCCCTATCTATTTCTCCATCAAAACAAATATATCTGGTGAAAGTCATTAGGCAATCTGAGAACCGTAAGAAATAGGCAAAGTGAAGGAACACTCTTGGTGTGTAGAATGTGGCATCAAACACAACCCAACTAACATTTATTGGTCTGGATATAAAGAAGAAGAACAAAGTGATAGCAATGATCTAGACCCTCTTCCAGAGAAGGCAATGGCTCCCACTCCAGTCCTCTTGCCTGGGAAATCCCATGGATGGAGGAGCCTGGTGGGCTGCAGTCCATGGGGTCACAATGGAGAAGGCAATGACACCCACTCCAGTACTCTTGCCTGGGAAATCCCATGGACAGAGGAGCCCAGTAGGCTGCAGTCCATGGGGTCACGACGGAGAAGGCAATGGCACCCCACTCCAGTGCTCTTGCCTGGGAAATCCCATGGATGGAGGAGTCTGCTGGGCTGCAGTCCATGGGGTCACAACGGAGAAGGCAATGGCACCCCACTTCAGTACTCTTGCCTGGAGAATCCCACGGACGGAGGAGACTGGTAAGGCTGCAGTTAATGGGGTCTCAAAGAGTCAGACACGACTGAGTGACTTCACTTTCACTTTTCACTTTCATGCACTGGAGAAGGAAATGGCAACCCACTCCAGTGTTCTTGCCTGGAGAACCCCAGGGACAGTAGCCTGGTGGGCTGCTGTCTATGGGGTCACACAGAGTCGGACATGACTGACATGACTTAGCAGCAGCAGCAGACCCTCTTTTTAGCATAGGTGTCAGTTTTTGCCACCAAGGGAGTGACCTAAAGTACTATAATACTCTGAAGAAGAGGAAAAAGCAGAATTTTAATAAAGCCAAAAATAAGTGTGATAAAGTCACACTGCCCTCAGAATGTATCTGAAGTAGCCAGCTCTGCAAAAACTCTATGTGGTGCCCAGTCCATCCAGACCTCCTGCTAAACCAGTGGGGAACCCAGAGGAACTGGTTGTCCAGTCCACAAGCAGGAGTAGGGTAAGAGTCAAGTTGAGACAGAAAGAAGTCGTCCCCACCAGTACTGAGAGAAGAGGACAGCACCCTCTCAGACCTTCTCTGCTCTTATAATGTGACAGAATAACTATAATGTGATTGGAAACAGGAGATAGTCTGGTGAGCTAAGGCCAAGTGCTACCCTAGAGAAGATAAACACCAGTTAAGACATTTTTATGATTTTTCTGGACTTCAAGATAAGTACATAATATCTCCTGTTTAACTGAGACAGTTCATGTCTTACCTTGTTTGATAAAAAGGGAAAGTGACGCACAAGAGGTGGCTAACATGAAACTCTTGATTGGTAAGTGATAGAGCAGTCTCAAACCCTTCTTCTGCTGCAACCTCAGGATTCTTTCTGAGATGACTGTTCTGCTCCATACAAAACAGTACCATTTCAAAAGCTTTAACTATCCTTCTTACCAAGCTTCCTGGAATTTCTTCATCCTGCAAGGCCTATCTTGATTCTGCCGACTCCTAAACCATCTTTCAACCTGGCGCTCTGTCAAGTTACACTTCTTTGCCAGTCCATAAATATCAGTCTGAAAGTGGATGAAACAAAAGAATGAGTGCTTAAGAGCAGAGTAGGCTGGTAGGCAAGCAAGAGACAGTGAGACTGAGTTACAAGCATTTGTGCACTGGAGACGAGAGAGATTCTGCATTAAACCTTGGGCCAGTGCATTTACTCCTTTTTTTCATGGAATCACACACACCCATCCCAAAACAGAGAGAATGTTAATTCCCAAAAAACTCAGTTGGTAAGAAAGACCAATTCTCCGTAAGTTGGTAGCAACCCATACATTCAAGTTCCATACATGGCTCACTTCTTCAGCCAATATTATTTAGGGCCTCCTAGGTGCCTGGAGAATCCCAGGGATGGTGGAGCCTGGTGGGCTCCCATCTATGGGGTCGCACAGAGTCAGACATGACTAAAGCAACTTAGCAGCAGCAGCAGCAGGTTCCATGTAGAGTAGTATAGTTTAAGATGTCAATAAAACCCAATTTCTGTATTTTTTCCTGTGAGAAAAATGGGACTCTGAGTGTTTTAACAGCTCGTCCAAGACCTAAAACTGGTAGCAAAGTGAGGATATGAACTCAGACTCCTGCCCTTTCTGTTACTTCATACAGTCTTTCTAATAGATCCAAAACTTTCACACTTAATCATATGCACAGCCTATTTTGAAGAAGGAAATGGCAACCCACTCCAGTATTCTTGCCTGGAGGTACAATGGACAGATGAGCCTGGCTGGCTACAGCCTACAGGGTTGCACAGAGTCAGACATGACTTAGCAACTAAACAACAACAGCAGCATATTTTTAACCAACCTTAAATAATTCCAATTATAAAAAATAAGGATTGTAGATTATAATAATGATGACTGCTTCTCTTTGGAAGGCAGAAGTTGCAGGTTATGGTTTACAGTTGAAAACAATGTAGATGATAGATTCGCTCAATGATCACAAATCTGAAGTTCTCCCAGGGCCAAACAAGAACCCAAAACGACTGACAGAACCAGCTCTGCTTCCTGGTGGTATTTTAAGCTGTGTTCTTTCAACACAGGTGTGTTTTACATGCTAAACCTACAGTACTTTCCACTTCCACAAGGAAATAAGCTCTGTAATGTTTTTTTAAGACACCAGTCTTCTTGATCTTTCATTTTGCAACGCTGAGTACAAGAAATATTTCAGTTTACTCCTAACTTAATGCATGCTCAGTCACTTCAGTCATGTCTGATTCTTTGCAACCCTATGGACTGTAGCCCACCAGGCTCCTCTGTCCATGGAATTCTCCAGGCAAGAATACTGGAGTGGTTGCCATTCCCTTCTCCAGGGGATCTTCCCGACCCAGAGATAACCGCAAGCCTATTACTTAATCTGAAGAGAAAGAAAGAAAAACAAAACATAGACAAGACATATTATACCGTTTCCCTGTAAACTGTCATCTCTAATGCTATTATTTTGTAGGCCAAGGTTTCACCTGCTGTTCTTTGTTGTTTTGGTTTGTTTTTGTGTTTTTGATGGCCCTAAAATGGCAGGTATTCATTAGTGAGTATTTCCTGCAGGCACTGTGCTTGGCATTGAAGATCTAAACGAACAGGATCAGTATTTACGGGGCCTCCCCTTCATTAGGTAAAGTCTATCTGGTAAGGAAGTCAGAAAACGCAACAAATAATTCTAATAAATTATGATGAGTGCTGAAACAGGGGACGGTCAGGGTACCATGGGACCTAACTTTATGTAGGCAATTCCTGGAAGTTACACTTATGCTAAACCCTGAAAAAAGTCCAAGAAGGAGAAGATGAAGAAGGGAAGTGTCCTGGCAGCCTGGGCAGTCACCTGGGCATGAGAGCAAAGGGGAACTGGAAGCACTCAAGGGACAGAAAGAGACCTTGCAGGGAAGTGAGGAGGAAAGATGTGGCCAGGGCCACAGCAATGAGGGCCTTGCCTGGAATGTATCTGTAGGTTACAGAATGTTTGCATTTTGAAGTCTTCCTCTTGCAGTGTGTCAAGTATGAAGCACCAGGAGTGAGTGGAGGTGGAGACAGTGTTTACTTTGCCCTGTTATCCCTGACCTCTCTCAGCGAGGTCCCCACAGCAAGGACCTTGCACTCCAGATGGGACAAGTTTGGAGGTCTGGATACACTCTCCCAGGCGGCACCAAACTTGTCACAGCCCTATTGCAGGAGGAGAGAACATGGCAGGTTTTGAGGCAACAGAATGCAGTAGGAATGGCAGGGAACTAAAAACGGATCGAGTTCTGCTACTTCCTAGCTCTGCAGCCTTGAGCTGTGTGCTCTGACCCGCTGTGGAAAATGGGGCATTGACAATGAGTGGTTGCATCTTGTCTTGTGCGAGTAATTTAGAATCTCAGGGCTCTATTAAATCTTCTATCATGTGCTACATCAATGTTAGAGATTATGGCTGAACCCAGAAAGGAGACCATACACTGAAAATCATTTCAGAAAAAAATATTCCTCTACTCCTAAAATAACTTGCAAGCATGAATAGATTCCCCCAAACAGAAGATACAATTTAAATCCTATTGCTTGGTCCACAGCAGAACATATTCTGAAATGCAGCAGCACTATATTCTGTACCTTCTGAGACTGAAAGGGCTTTGGGTCCAGCTTGACTGCTTTAAAAGTTTTATTCATTCAATCATCACCAGTGTTTACTGAGCCTCTACTCACTAGTGCCAGTCACTATTCTAGGCACTGGAGATTCATCAATGAGCACAGTCCCTGTTCTCATAGTAGAATTTTCCGAGATCCGAGAACAATCCAATTTTACTACCTCATCATTTCTACAGATACCTGATGAATAAATGCATCTAGAAGATAGTGATCAAACATGATTTGAAGCATTTTTTCCTGATTTGGAGCACAGATGAATCTGATTCAAAGTCTTGACAACACTGGCCTCATATATCTACAATATTTTTGCGATAGAAGTCCTCTTGCAAACAGAAGTCTTTAGTAGTATTTTGTTATTAATGTACAAAACAAACATTTTCTGAACACCTACTAGGTACAGAAAGTTGTGTAAGATATTATGGGAATACAAACAAGCATACTTAGGAAACAACTGATGTTCCCTTGGGATAATAAATGTTGGGAAGATATATTTGAGAATGCTCCTCTAGAAGTCTACATGATAGGTATAGCCTATGAATAACAAGAGCTGACCTTGACTGCATACCAGGCAGTATTCTAAGTACTCAACTCAATCCCTGAATTGAGAGTCCTATGAGGTAACTGCTGTTAACACACTCAGTTTACAGAGGGGGACACTGAGGCAGAGGGGTTAATCTGCTCACCTTCACACACAGTCTGTTCTCACAATTCGTGTTTTTAGCCTGGACACTACAGACAATGTGGCCGTGGAAGGGAAAGGCTCTTGGGCAGAACCTAGGAGAGAAGCAGTGTGGCCTAAAATGGGCCATGAGGCCTGGCTACTTGATGCAAAAACAAACTCTCTGGGACTCAACCTCTTTGTCTTTCACATGTCTCACCCATAAAATAAACTGGACTGGAGAGCTAGAGAGCCTTTTGCTCTAAAAATGTGTGAATCCATGGTTGAGACAAGCTAGCAAACTGGAATGCCCCTATGGACTCTTCTCCAACTATGGACCACAATACCTGCTTTATGTCAGTCTTAAGGCACCACGTTTTCTTTAGATTACCTTTCAAGAACTACACATTCATTTGTTCTAAAACAGTTCTCATTGTGTTCTTGCAGAGGAAAAGGACTTGTTAATAAGTTCTGTTGTTATTTCATTTTACCAACAGCAGGAAAAATGATCTGTTGGCCAGAGCTATTGGTATGTTCTAATGATTCTCTATCAGTTATCATGATTCTCTCTCTGAATTTCATCTTGAAATTGTCATTGAGATACACACAGAGAGAGACATACAGATATATAAACACTGGACACACAGCTGCACATACACAGTCACAAAGAAATGTGTGAGACAGAACAAAACTCCAGCGGCAGTTCACACGTACAGCTTTTTGGACCTCATCGACACCATTTTATATCCTCTATGCTAACCAGCATAGAATTGATACTGTGTATCTGAAATGTTTTTGTTTTTTCTGGTGCAGTCTGTAGCAGCTGAAGAAGCATCCTTGATTTGTGTCCTCAGTTGTTTTAATAAAGTTAGATGTTAAGCACCTGTATTACCACTGCATGCCCTGTGATTACAGACTTGGAATACTTTGTTAGAAGTGATACCCACCCATTCCTTGAACCAGCACATTTTTTTTAAGTCTTCCCAGCAACTTGTCCTAGCTCAGCTATTTATTAAGCAAAAATGCTGTCTATATGACACTGGCCAAGTTAATGTGTGGAAGTATTGTGGTATCATTTTGTTTCCACATCTGAAATCACTACTAAGTCATTTACTTTGCCTTCTTCTACTATATTCTATCTTCCCAGGTTCTAGTACTTTTATTCTATGGGCATTTCACTGGCCAACTTGTTGTCATCTTGATCTATTATACAAATACTACCTTGATTTTGTAATCTATGAGCAATATAAATTAGATATCTTAATTATGTCCCTTCATCTTCATAGTTTAGTAGAGGAAGCATTCTAACACTTGGGGGTTGATATATAACATTTCCTCTATTACCTGATGCAAATGTCCAAACTATAACTACACTAAGCCATACTGTATTGTCAACTAAGCTAGAATAATTACTTACAAACATAGCTCCAGCCTCTGAAATACATTTTCAATATTCTGTACACAGTTAACGACATCATTTAGGCATAGTAGAAGCAGCACTTGACAGGGAGTCCTGGGCCAGGGTCCAGGTTTGGATTCAGCCATTAATTAGCTGCATGACCTCAGACAGGTCCTCTGTTGACCTTAGTTTCCTCATTTCAATTGTAAAGAAGAAAGATGACCTAATCTCTAAATCTCTTTCAGCTTTTCTTCACTTTTCTTTAACTGTCAGGTGGCGAATTTATCTTCATAGCTGAGAAACTTGATAAGAGCCAAATTTTCTACATATTTTAAAATTATTCTCAGATAATAAACCTATTAATTATTCTCAGATAGAAACAAAGGATAATAAGGGTTCTCTGAGAGAGTCCTAACTTTTCATAAACACAACTAAATAACTTCCCCTCTGAAAAATGTAAGATGATGCTTAAGCATTATCACCAGTGGTAACAGCAGTATTTAGGTGAATGACTTCAGTCTTTTCAAGCAGGTAGAAATAAAGAACACATAGAGATGGCTTGTCAGACTGTCCTCATTCTAGGAAAAAAAGGCACATACAGAAGCTGATGGCAGACAAGTTAAAAGACAGTGCTGGCTAGCCATGAATAATTCTGAACATGATGCCTGGTGCTATATGGCCAGATTTCAGTATGTTTATTTGTGCAGGGAGCCCACCTTACCAGTGACAGAAAGTGTCATAGAAAAAGCAAGTGAATTCAGCAGATAAGTTCAGGACCTTAAAAATCTATCTATCCTAAAACCACATTAGCACATTATTTTTGACTTTTAAAATTACTAGTGAGAGATGTCTGTATTTGTCGGAGAGGGTATGCCAGATTTGGAGAAGTTTTGATTTCATCTCATTTAAATGTGGGGTATAATGAAACTAGACTTGCCTGGACACTACTATTTTTACATAACCTTTAGGTTAAACTCTTTTTCTGTGGTGTAAACATGTAGTGCACTGTAACATTTCATCAAGTACATCTCGTATAGAGAAGAAAATTGTGACTCTCCTAAGGATTCCATCTCTGGGGAGTGGGCAGAAGCACAGAGTATTTCTGAGTATTTTGAAGCCTTGGATAAAATAAAGTGTTCTGCTCAGGAAAGCCACCCCAAGAGATACTTTTGTAATGTGCGCCATTTGTACTGATGGTGTCAGACTCATCAAAAGTGTCAGATATGGGCTACTCTGCCTTAATAATGATCCATTTTCATTGGTATACTTTGTATGTATCCTACCACTGAAAATTAAATTTTGATCTTTATACCCAAATTGTCAGTGTTCAACACTAGTTAAATATGTTACTTTCTATCATTATAAATATATTGTATATATTGTATATTATTATTGTGTCACTTTATATTATGCTAAGAATGCTTTGTAACTTATCAACAGAGGAAAAAAATCCAAATGAAATAAATTATTTGCTGCTCAACTGAAACTAACTTTTTTCATAGATAAGGTAAGCAACAGATGATGGAAATATTAAGAAAGGAGATTTTAAAATCCCAAAACAAAGAATTTGTACTTACTTGAGATGGTTTCTTTGTGGAATGTTTGAAAAAATTCTCTAAAACAGTATTTGGTGTAATCTTCTTTTGAACTTCCTCTTTAATGCCAAATGTTTTTGCTAGAGGTGAAGCAATAAACCTATGAAAATATAAACAAAATAAAGAGTCAGACATGGCTGAGAAACTAACACTTGCTTTTCAAGTTCAAAATCTGAGAATGAATCTACAATGTCGCCAGGAAAGTCAAGCTGTAACTTTAGATTCCAAATTAAAGATCAGTCATTAGATTACCTAAAGCCAATATCTGCCTTACAGAAATTCAAAGAGCAAAATTTGAGATCTTTATACAAGCAATAACTTAAAATACAAAATACATTTGACTAAACACACAGAGTTGAGGGGTGCTAACAGTGCAGTGAAAATCCTCTTCATATAGCTTATAGGCAGCCCCTAGGTAAGTGGTTCCTCCTTATTCAAGGTTTCACATCTATGGGTTCAACCAACCATAGATTTAGCACTGTAGTATTTACTACTGTGAAAAATCTGCTTACAAGTGGACCCTGAAGTTCAAACTCTTGTTGTTCAAGGGTCAACTGTAATTGCATAGTTCTAAAATCCATTTTATGTAAACTCAAATATATTTATATACAAGATCCAGGAACCAGGATAAACCATTCTATTCAGTTTCATTTTTAAGACTACTAGAGATTAAGATAAATGTTTTGTTATTATTTTCTTTGGTGATATTATCTTAAAGAAATTATTATGTCCCCTATTTAAAGTTCTAACTAATGAAAAATGGCATGACTCTGGGGTAAATATTTAGCAATAGGATTGGTAGGCTGTATGGCAAGTATACACTTAACTTTAAAAGAACTTAGTGAATGCTTTCCAAAGTGTCTATGCTATTTTACATTTCCATCAACAATGTGCCAAAGTTCCAGTTATTCCATATCTCTGCCAACAGTTGGTACTGCCAGTCTTTTTAATTTCAGCAATTCTATTGGGTGTGTACTGGCTTTTACTGACTTTATATTCTAATTTCTATTATTTCTTAACTTTTTTGTTATAAATTCAGTTTGCTTTTTTCCCTTCTTTATTAAGGTAGAAGGTTAGATTACTGATTTGAGATCTTTTTTCTTTTTGAATATATGTGGTTATAGCGCTAAATGTCCTAGTAAGCACTGCTTTTGCTGAATCCCATAAGTTTTGGTATGGTGCTTTCTTTTTCATTCATCTTACAGTATTTTCTAATTTACCTGTGATTTCTCCTCTGACCCATAGGTTATTTAGATGTATACTGTTTAATTTCCATATATTTGCTAATTTCTCAATTTCCTTCTGTTTTGGACTTCTAATTTCATTCAATAGTGGTCAGAAAACATACCTTGTATGATTACAATCTCACTTTTATTGAGACTAGTTTTAAGGCCTAACACATGGTCCATTCTGGAGAATGTTCCTTGTGCACATGAGAAGAATGTGTATTCTGCTGTTATTGGTGATGCGCTCTATAGATGTGTGTTAGGTCTAGTTCATTTATAATGTTGATCAAGTCTGTTTCTTTGTTGATTTTCTGCCTAGTTGTTCTATCCATTATTGAAAATGGGGTACTGAAGTTTACAACTATTATTGTTGAATTGTTTATTTCTCCTTTCAATTCTGTTTGCTTCATGTTTTGGGGACTACGTTGCTAGGTACATATATGTTTGTAATTGTTCTATCATCTTGATATGTTTACCCTTTTATAGTATAAAATATCCTTTGTTTCCAGCAACAATTTAAAGGCTGTTAAACTGGCTGGTATTAGTATAGCCAAGAACAGAGGAGCCTGGAGGGCTGCAGTCCATGGAGTTGCAAAGAGACAGACATGACTTAGAGACTAAGCAACAACAACCAAGTATAGTCATCCCAGCTCTCTTGGTTATTGCTAGCATGATATATATTTTCTTATCCTTTCACTTTCAACCTATTTATGTCTTTGAACTTAAAGTGTGTCTCTCATAGAAATTATATAGTTGGATCATATATTAATATTTCTATCCAGTCCTCCTATCTGTCTTTTAGTTGGAGTATTTAATTCATTTACATTTAATGTAAATTATACTTAATTACTGATAAGATAGGATTTATACCTGCCACTTTGCTATTTATTTTCTATACAGTTTCCACTTTTTTGTTTCTCTATCCTTTCATTACTATCTTCTCTGTGTTAAACAGATATTTTCTAGTGTATTCTTTTAATTCTCTCTTTTTATTATTTTTAAAAATAGGGATTACAGTTAACATCTGAATTTATAATCTCCTAATTCAGATTAATAATAAAATAATTTAAACACTATACAGAACTCCATTACCTCCCCTCTCTCTGCTGCTACTGTCATACAAATTATGGACTTACAAACTGTTCTCATCAACAGACTTTTATGGTTATTGGTTTATGCAGCTGTCTTTCAAATCAGACAGGAGTAAAACTTGTCACCAAAAACATGCACTTATTCTTTTATTTCTTGTGTGGGTGCTTCACTGGTGCTCTTTATTTCTCCACGTGGACTCAAGTACTGTCTGCATCCTCTGCTTACAGTGACCAGGACCCCCTTCAGCATTTATCACAGGGTAAGTCTGCTTAGCAACAAATTCTTCCAGTTTTTGCTTATCTGGAAATGTCTTATCTTCTCTCATTTTGAAGGATAATTTTACTTGGTTGACAGTTTTTCCTTTCTTGTTATTTGTCCTCCTATTGCCTTTGGCTTCCACGGTTGCTGATGAGAAATCAACTCAATCTTATCAAAGATCACTGTTACATGATAGTATACTTCTCTCTCATTGCTTTCAAGATTCTTTCAACAGTTTGCTTATGATATATCTAGATATGAATCCTTTAATTAAGCTTATTCTTCTTGGAGTTTGGTTAGCTTTTCAAATTACAGATTAATGTTTGTCATCAGATTTGGAGAAATTTTTAGCCACTTATTTCTTCAAATATTTTTTATCCTGTTCATTTCCTCCTCTTCTTCTGGAATTGGCGCTATACATATGCTGTTATGCTTGATCAGGGCCCACAGGTCTCTGAGGTTCTTCATTTTTCCATATTCTTTTTTTTTTTTTCTGTTCCTTAGATTGCTGACTCTTCTGCCTGCCCAAAAATGCTGTTAAGGCCCTCCAGTGAATTTTTAATATGAGTTATTGTACTTATCAAGCCCTAAATTTCTATTTGATTTCTTTTTATAATCTATAATTTTATCTCTTTACTGATGTTCTTAATTTAGTGAGACATTTCTTTTTTTTCCTTTTTCATCTTTTATTTATATATGTAAGCATGTATGTATTAATTTTTATACCAGTTTGAACTTGTAAGTTTCTAGTCTCTTCAGTCAGTTGTATTTTGACACTTTTATCATTTTTTTCCCCAATTATCTTTCCTTAGCTTTTAAGCATGGTTTTCTCTAGTTCTTTGAACATTTTTTAAATAGTTGACTTAAAACCTTGTCTAATAAGTTTAACATCCAGGCTTGTTAAGGGACACACTCTATTGACTGCTGTTTGTTTTTTTTTCCTGTGTATGAGCTATACTTTCTTATTTTTTTGCATGTCATAATTTTTGCTTAAAAGTAGACATGCTTACTAATATAATGTGGCAACTCTAGAAATCAGAATATCCCCCTCTTCAGAGTTTGTTGTTGTTCTTGCTGTTTTTTGTCGTCCATTTGTTGTTTACTGTTTTAAACCGATCTGTAAAGTTTATATTCTTTATGTGTGGGCACTAAAGTCTTTATTAGGTTAGCTTAGTGGTCTACTAATGATTAGACAGAGATGTCCTTAAATGCCTGGAACCAATAAATCTTCCAGTGTTTGCTAAGGGGATAGTGTACAATTCAGTGGACACCTTCAACACTCAACCAGGCAGTGGACAACTTTGCCTTAGCCTTCACTTCCTGTTTGCACAAAGCCTTAAGGTCATCCAGAGGTGAGAGCTTTGGACTCACCTCTTGATCATACTTTTCTTGATCATGTGGGTGGCCCTGGGCATGCCCAAAGCTCTACAAATTCAAGTGGCCTTTTAAAAAACTTCCAAGAGTATGTCAGAGCTTTTCAAAATCCCCTATGGACATATTACCCAGCTTATCTTTTAAAAAGGAAAGCTTTTTGTTTATTGTTTGACCCACAAGTTATCCACTACCCTCAGCTCAGTTCAGTTCAATCACTTAGTTGTGTCCAACTCTTTGCCACCCCATGGACTGCAACACACCAGGCTTCCCTGGCCATCACCAAGTCCCGGAGCTTCCTCAAACTCATGTCCATAAAGTCAGTGATGTCATTCAACCATCTCATCCTCTGTTGTCCCCTTCTTCTCCTGCCTTCAATCCTTCCCAGAATCAGGGTCTTTTCCAATGAGTCAGCTTCCCATCAGGTGGCCAAAGTATTGGAGCTTCAGTTTCAGCATCAGTCCTTCCAATGAATATTTGGGACTGATTTTCTTTAGGACAGACTGGTTGGATCTCCCTGAAGTCCAAGGGACTCTCAAGAGTCTTCTCCAGCACCACAGTTCAAAAGCATCAATTCTTTGGTGCTCTGCTTTCTTTATAATCCAACTCTCACATCCATACATGACTAGTGGAAAAACCATAGCTTTGACTATACAGATCTTTCTCAGCAAAGTAATGTCTCTGCTCTTCGGTTGGTCATAGCTTGGAGCTCAAGAAAATAAATTCTGTCACTGTTTCCACTGTTTCCCCATGTATTTGCCATGAAGTGATGGGATAAGATGCCATGATCTTAGTTTTCTGAATGTTGAGCTTTAAGCCAACTTTCTCATTCTCCTCTTTTAGTTTCATCAAGAGGCTCTTTAGTTCTTCGCTTTCTGCCATAAGGCTGGTGTCATCTGCATATCTGAGGTTATTGATATTTCTCCTGACAATCTCAATTACAGCTTGGGCTTCATCCAGCCTGACATTTCGCATGATGTACTCTGCATAGAAGTTAAATAAGCAGGGTGACAATATACAGCCTTGTTGTACTCCTTTCCCAATTTGGAACCAGTCTGTTGTTCCATGTCTGGTTCTAACTGTTGCTTGTTGACCTACATACAGATTTCTCAGGAGGCAGGTAAGGTGTTCTGGTATTCCCATCTCTTGAAGA